CTAATGCCAAATGATCACTTGAAGAACTTTGTTTTGTCATTTGAAATTTGTTGGAATGGTTCAAGTTGGTTAAAAATAAGCTTGACTAGTTTTGAGATTTATTGAGGTATTTTTCAAACAAAAATGAGTTTTAAAGTGCAAAAATTAAAATCCTAGACATATTAAGCTTTGAATGATTTATCCTATAGTATTTTGCATAAATATACTTGTTTGAATGATTTTGGCATGATGGAAATGATTTTGTGATTTTTATACACATTGATTTGTGATTGTTGAACATGCCAATATAACCGTGATGTTTAAAATACTACAAAGGGTATAGGTTTCTATTTTAAGCCTTAGAAAGAAAAAAGATAGGTTGTATTTTTATTTCAAGAATAGTGGATTGAAGCTTTGGTGTGAACAACCAAGAAGAGAGGACATTGTGCCTTGTGGAGAAGGATTAAACCTTTATAGATAATTGTGTTTGATTTCTTTATCCCTATCTCCTTACAATTTATTATTGTTTATATTTGATTTTAAGTTCATTAATTGTTATTGTTTGCATTATATTTCCATCAAAAGTGCTTATTGTTTTAATTTCCATTCAACTATATTGAAATCATTGTTTAGGAATAATTTGGAGAAATCTAATTCACCATCTCACCTAAAAAGTTAACAGAAAACCAAGATTGGAGGCTTTATAGAATAACCCAAAATAGTATTATGCATGTGAACAAAATCATGCTAGAATGGTTATTCCATTAAATTCTAGAATCCAAAATTGTTTTGAAATATATAATAAAGGATAATACAAAACTGGTCAAATAAAACCCTAGAATCATTTGCTACTAACAGGGTAGCTAAATCACATTATACCCTAAAAAATCCTTTTTTCCTAAGCATCCCTCAAGGCAATAATCAATCTGACAAGGAAGGTCTTATCACTTTAAGATACCTTAGTAAGTATTGTAACTATCATAAGATATTTGTCTTATTATTAGTTTGGAATAAATTACCAGAAAAATCTCAAAAAATCTTCATGATTACTCCTATAATAGGCAAGCTCTAATCAATCAGATTAGTGATTTGTGTCATTTAAGAGTATTCATAAAATTGTCAGATCAAAATTTAATATAACTAAAATATGATATGTTTAGATCCATATTTAGAAAATTTAGTCTAACAAAATCAATTAATTTAATTTAAAGTGAATATTCAAATAATAAGGCAATTTATTAGTTAAATGAGCTTTTACAAAATTAAATGAATAATTAACAAAATGAGTAAATTTTAGTTATCGAAATTGGGCTAATTAGAATACCCAAATAATTCATTTAGAACCCATTTGGATAGGTATAATATTACCAAAAAAGCCATTAATTTTGGTCCTAAAGTATTTTTTTTTTAATTTTTAATCAAAATGGCCTTAAACAAAATGACCAAAATCAATTAAATTAGGCCTAAGTTTTAATTTCAACCAAATTGGTCTAAAACAAAATGACCAAAAATTTAATTCCAACAAAATGACTTAAACTTGAATGACCCAAATGGAATTAAAATTAAAATTGGTCTAAATTTAATTTCATTTGATTCACAATTAGATGAATTTATTTAACCCAAATTAATTAGTCAAATGGTCAAAATTAATTAAATTAATGGTCCCAAATTTAAATATTAAATTTTACCTAAAAAAAATAACCCAACAATAATAAAAAAAAAAAAAACTCCTTAATTTTCATCAAATGTCTTAATCCTAAATGGCCCAAAAATTGCCAAAGGGGAAAATTAAGGAAAATTGGCCCGATCCAAAATGATTTAAAAGAGCCCAAAATGAAGGACAAATTCAGCCCAAAATTATTATGGGCAAACTGTCCAAAGAACTAAATGGCCCAATAAAAAAATTTCCTATCCATTTTTTCTTTTTACGTTTTTTTGAATATTTCAAGCCGGTGTGCTGTTACACACACCAGTCATGGAACATGTGGCGCGTGCCTGTCAAGTTACATGCGACTGCGTCAAAACTATGCACATGTCAGACTTTAACTGCATCTTGACTCGTTTCCAATGTTCGGGTCATTTGACCCGACCCGACCTAATTCACATAAAATCTTACCATTTTCGCATCGTTTTGGATCGAAAAAATCGTTTTTCAACCCCCTTTAATCTCCACAACGACAAACACATAATTTGGAGCCCAAAAACTAAAAATAACCACATGGGTTTCAAAAATTGAAAACTTCAAAAGCTCATCTGAGTTTCAAACAGAACATCACACCAATAAAAAATGGTTAGTAACCTCCAGAGTTAAACTCTGATATCAATTATTAGATTTGTCCCAAAAGCAAAGCTTATTGGGTCAAGAACAGAATTTAGCTTAAACTAAAACTGATGTGTAAGCATGTGAGAGCTCTATCATGCTTAACTCAGGTCCATAGATGTGTTGCAATCGTCTTGAGCTTTCTGTGGCCACCCTCCGGGCTCCAAACGGACTCCTACATAGGAAAAAAAAAGAGAACTTCTGTGTCTCCAAAATTAAAGTTATAAAATCTAATATATATATATATATAGGTGACTAAAATCATACCACATGTACAACTATATTGCAATATGATACCACTATAATTATTCATAATTTGACGTTAATTGATCTAAGTCTGGATTAATTGATTATATTAGTCTACAATAGAAGATAAATGTAACAAAATAAATTAAGAACAATTATAAGTGGACACGAAAAAAAAATCTTGAATCGGCCATTGATTATCATTAATGTTCATAGACATTAATGTTCATTATTATTAAGAACACTTTGATTATCGCTAATCAAAGGAATAATATTGAAATAAATTCTTGAATTTATTTACTTAATAACAAAAATAAATCATTGTTATTTATTATATTAAATTAAAATTATGAACTTTTTATTTTATTGTAATTAGAACTTTAACGTTATAAAAAATTTAATTTTTGGTTAAAATCTTCTTAATTGGATGATGTAATTTATAAAAATAATGCTTACTTTAATTGATTTGAATGAGTTGGATGACAAATATTTAAGAAAATGATATTTTAAAAATTATGATAATTGAATTTTATTCATGATTTAAGATTTAATAAGAATAATTACAATAAAACAAAAGTTCATAGCCTCAATTTTACGCAATAAAAAATCAAGGACAATTGTTTCATTTTTTAGTAAAATTTGAGAATTTATTTGAATATGATACTTATAATTGATAAATTATTTATTAAAATTTATAAACGGTCTAAACATAAAATTAACTTTGAATTCATTGATTTAATATTGATTGTTGATCATTAAAATGCATAAAAAAGATTAATAGGTATTTTTTTTATCATGAAATTGAGATCGAAGAGTTTTTTAGTAAGCATTCACTCCACTTACGAGAGATGCGTATTATATCTTATTATTGGATTCGAATATGAACACCTTAAATTTAATTATATTAATTATTATATAATATATTAATAAAATATATTTTTAATTTCAATAATTAAAATATAATTCCTTGCACTTTCGAATAAGAAAACGAATAAATTATCATTCATACATACCAAATAATGAGATTGACTGAACCCGTCACCACGGAGGTGCAGACCATGTCTCTTCTGTTCACGTGAATATCCCACAAAACAGTATCAAAACATTGATGGTGTGATGGCCAACTTTTTTTTTTTGTACATTAATTTTTTTTGTTCATTAGTTGATATTAATATGTCAATGAATTTTTCTGAATTTATTTCGATATTATAATTTTATAAATTTCAGCATATTATACAAACAAATTTAATTAGAAAAAAAAAAGGTGAGGCAAGAAAGAAAAGTAACCAAAATGTTACTTTTGTTATATTTATTTTAATTATTTAATTAAGGTATAGAAATTCCTCAGCGCGGGTTTGGAAGTAAAAGTATATATGAATAAAATTATAATTAATGAATTGTTGTTCAATTGAGAAATTCCGTTTGTCTGTTATTTTTTATTTGCCATTGGTTTTTCTGAAAGATATTTTTGAATAATTAAAAATTAAAATTATAAATTTTTTAAAAACAAATTAATTAATAAAAAATTATTTGATACATTAACAATTGCATTTTATTTTACTCTACAAACGGAATTAGGATGATCGCATATGTTTTTCTTCTTTTTTAAATTAATTTTTTAAATATTTTTAAATATACATTAAAGGAATTTTTTTTTATCTTAATCTCATTTGTAAAATTAAAAAATTTCACTATTAATATATTTAATAATTTTTCATTACTTTTATATTAAACAATTATATCAAAATTCTAAAATTACATTTTGGCCATTTGTTCATTTCTTATTGCTTACTTAATATTTTATCAAATTTATTAAATATTATTATTACTGTATTACGATAAGAAGTATCTTAAATTTTGTTTGGATTTAATCGTCTTTAAGGATATATTCTGTTACATGTATTTGACGCATTCAAGATTTAAGAAATGAGATTTGTATTAATATTTTTTTATATAAAAATACATATATCAAATACTTGAATGCTTTAATAATTTTTAATAAATAATAAAACATTTATCAAATTAGAGGCTAACAATTAATCTAATATGGGAGCTTCAAGATTAATGGAGGAAAATGATTCATAATATATAGATAACTGGTTTAGAAATTGTTTAATCTTCGGGAGTCCCAGAAGAACTGGAACTTGGAAGGATCATTTAAATAGAGAAAAGTTTTGGAAAGCCAAGAGTACAGATACTGAAGCCGAATTCGATCTGGAAAAAAAGAGCAAACCGAGTGGTGGACTAGTTGTAGTAGCAGCAATGGTGTCCAAATGTTGACCGCCCATACGCTGCTTGCTCATCTAAAGAACCCCCCTTTAATAATTTAATTTAATTTTTTTATAAGACCTGGTCTCCGGTCCACACTCAACTCCATCAAACCGCGTTTTCTTCTTCCCAGGTTCCATTTTTCAATACCATTTCTCTAACATTTTGGCCCTCTTTAAACCGCCCTTTTAACGCCATAATCTTATATCCTAACCCACCATGAAATTCTCATCAAAAAAATTTCCATGGGTCTTTTCTTTCGTAAATCCCGCCAGTTTTCTCTCCTGATTTTTTCGTTTCTTTCTTTTATTTCTTTCGGTTTTTCTCTCTCCACGGTCTCTATATCTGAAACTTCTAACCTCACATTAGTATGCGCTTTAGTACCATCTCTTGAATTGCATCGATCTTCTCTAAATTGTTCTAGCTTTCCTGTTCCTGGTATTCAAATCCCTTTCAATCCCAATGTTTCGTTTACAGGTATTGTCTCTGGCAATGGATTTTTATGTGGTCTGAGACCTTCTTTTTCCTCATCCAATATTTCAGTTATGCATTGTTGGAGATTCTTTAGCAACGGTACTAAAATAGAGTTCAAACGGATTTACAGGGGTCCAGCTCTTAAGCAACTTGAAGCAGGCAACTCTATTATTTGTGGTCTTAATGAGACCAACGCTCTTGAATGTTGGCAATGGCCTGAATTCAACCAACCAAGGGATCAAAACTTTTCTGCCATCGCTGTTGGTGAAGGATTTGTGTGTGGATTATCAGCAGGTGGAAATATTAGCTGCCCTGGAAACTTTCCTGGTATCTCTGATAAAGAGCCTGAAGGGAATTATAGCGTGATTGCTGTTGGGTTTAGCCATGCTTGTGCCATCAATGCGGATAATTATTTAGTGTGTTGGGGAAAAACGGTGGTGGGTGATACGCCTCAGGGAAAATTCAACGCACTGGCTCTGGGACAGAATCGAAGCTGTGCCTTAAGGACCAATGGAACAGTTGTTTGTTGGGGGCAGAATAATTTCAGTCTACCACAGGAATTGGAAGGGCTTAGGTTTATTACAATCAAAGCAAAGAGAAATGTTTTTTGTGGAGTTTCAGCATGGGATTTTTCTCTGTTTTGTTGGGGTGATGCAAACTTTAACTCCAACTTTAAGGTATTCTCAGAAGTATTACCAGGGCCATGTAGGAATACATGTCCATGTGGTCCAGTGCAGGGATCAGGCCGATTTTGCAGCAATGGTGGATCAATTTGCCAAGCTTGTATCATACCTTTCGGGCCAATAACACCATCCCCTCCATCAGCTCCCTCGCCACAACCTCAGAACAGATCCACAAGCAATGATTTGAATGGCCGAATGGTAGCTTTCCTAGTTGTTGGTTGCGTAGGATCCTTCTCTTTGTTGCTAGTCGTTTGTTTCTTTATCTTCAGATATTGCAAGGGTAGAGGGTGCCGTGTCCATGATTCAGGTCGCCTGGATGAGACTGGTGCCCCTGCTAATGGTGTTTCCAATCAGCCCCAAACTTCCCAAGCCCCATTAGCACCAGCAGTTCTGGAGAAGCGTCTGAGCCAATTGACCAGCATGGGAAATACAGGTCGCTTGGAGGAATTTTCTTTAGAAGCCCTGATTCAAGCCACCAACAATTTCTCTGAAGATCATAAAATTGGGTCTGGCAGTTTTGGTTCCGTCTACAAGGCTACATTGGATGATGGGCGTGATGTGGCCATCAAACGAGCTGAAATAACAAGCACTTCATCATACGCAATCGGCACCAAGCGTCAAGAAGATAAAGACAATGCTTTCGTGAATGAGCTCGAATATTTATCACGCCTCAACCACAAAAATCTTGTCCAGCTATTGGGATTTTGTGAAGATTTCAATGAGCGTGTATTGGTGTATGAGTACATGAACAATGGCACACTCCATGACCATCTCCACAAGTTCCAAAACTCACCCTTCATGTCATGGGCTATACGGCTTAAGATTGCATTAGATGCAGCAAGGGGGATCGAGTACTTGCACGAATACGCGGTGCCACCAATCATACACCGTGATATCAAGTCCTCAAACATTCTTCTCGATGCAACTTGGACTGCAAAGGTATCTGATTTTGGATTATCATTGATGGGTCCCGAGGATGATGAGTCGCACCTGTCACTGCGAGCAGCAGGCACAGTTGGATACATTGATCCCGAGTACTACAGGCTTCAACAACTGACCAGTAAGAGTGATGTGTACAGTTTTGGAGTAGTATTGCTGGAATTATTATCGGGATGCAGGGCAATCCATCGGAATGAAAATGGGGTGCCAAGGAATGTGGTTGATTTTGTGGTTCCATATATTCTCCTAGACGAAATTCACAGAATTTTGGACCCCAGAGTCCCACCACCAACGCCTTTCGAAATAGAGGCAGTGGCGTATGTAGGATACCTAGCAGCCGATTGTGTAAGACCAGAAGGCCGAGACAGACCTTCAATGACTCAGATTGTAAATAGCTTAGAGAAGGCATTAACTGCCTGTTTGCTTCCCCCATCCTTCTCTCGATCCACTACACAATCCTCCACGTAGCAGAGAAAAATTGTATAGCAAAGTCACTAGTCAATTTTTTTTTTCTTTTTCTGATTTGTTGATTCAACCGAGGCAAAAAGAGTATGGTGGCGGCAATAATGTGAAGCCAATAGAATGTGCTTTACAAAAAGTATTGTTTATGCCTAATTAAAGTCAAAGTACATTACTTATAAGATTTAGGATCAAATTTTGTTACTAATGATGCTGATTTTTTTTATGAGTAATTTGTAAATTTAATATAAATTAAACCTACGTTTCTTTAAGGGATTATTATTCATTTTTTAAGTTATGTTTTAAAAATATGTTTTATAACGAGAGAAGTAAAATTTTTATTCAAAGTTTTAATAGATGGCAACATATAGACAAATATAAGATGTGCTTATTTTTTAATATAAATTTAACTTAATTACATAAAAATATTTTTTATTAAATTAAAGTATTAAATAATATTTTTATTAATATAATACATATATTAATAAATTAAATATATTTTTATTAATATAAATTAAAATTAAAATTAAAATAAATATATATTTTTATATTTTCCAAGGAGAGTAGGCAAAACACCCCAAACTTAGATCCAAATTATTATAAGAGGCAAAATTTAATTTAATTCTTATTTAAAAAATGAATTGATTAGATCGCAACGAATCAAAGTCCATCGGATATAAATTATTTTATTATTTCTACATTCATTGACTTTTTTCTTTTACAAAATTTATCTAATAAATAAAATTTTAAAATATAAAAATATGATTAAAAAGTCAAATTGAATGACATGTGAATTTATTAAATTAAAATATTAAACAATATTTTTAACAAAATATATAAATATAAAATTAAATAAATAATAAAATATATATTTTATATATATCAAGGTCGAAATGTAACACCTAAAACCTTACTCTTACAAAATTCAATTTAAAAAAAAAAAAAAACTCAACCCAAATTATCCCGAACTAAAAGAAAATGCACAAATTGGATCGATGCAAATCAAAACCTATAAGATATAATTTATTTTATCGTATCCATCTCAATTTATTTTTTTATTATGAAATTTATCTATAAAAAAAAAGAAACCAAAAAATAAAAACTTAAAACAAATAAATAAAGGAAGTATTATGTAGACACTCGGAGATGAGGCAGAACATCTTTAATCCATCTCCAATCCAACTCCATTAAAAAAAAAATCAACCAAATTTTAATTTTTTAAAAAATGCATTTATATTGGATCATTGTGAATCAAAACCAATTGAATATAAATTGTTTTATTATCTTTACTTTTTATTTTAAAAAAAAATTATTTAATAAAAAAATAAAATTAAAAAGCAAATAAAAAACCAAAAAATATATACAAATAAAATAAAAGTAAAGAATAAAAAAATAAAAAATAAAAGAAGGATATCGTGCCATGTTGACACTTTTTTTTTTCCATTCTCTGAAAAATTAAGTAAATAAATACTCTAACCTTGAAATGGAGAAGCTTCTTCTGGCTCTGAACTTTTATTTTTTAAAAAAATGTTGTTTCTTTGTTTCGTAAGAGTTTGACAGGGTCATTCTGATTATTTCTTTCAATAAGGTTCGGTTTTGAATTTGCCCAACAAAGACTTCAAGAGAAGGTCAAAACAAAGGAAAATTTTGAATAATTAAGAATGCATGCTTGGTTCTCATTACAAAAACATTTGACCCGCAACCATATACACGGTTAGACTTCAATTTGATTAGTAAGCCAAGTTACAACTTCATATTCAAAGATTAAGCATCATTATTATGTAAACGAAGTTGGCCCACCGAGACAATTGTTCAAGAAAGGATTTGAAATTGCCGTGACACAATATAAAATGTATTGGTGATCTTAAAATTGAAAAAAAAAAAATTCAGATTGCCTTATATTTGTGTTAGTTTAAAATATGATAATTTCAAGATCAAATTATTTAATTTGATATAACTTATTTGTATTTAAATAATTTTTAATTTAAAGTCAATTTATTATAAATTCAGATTATTTTACATTCATCTTTTGCATTATTTTAAATTTGGATTAATTGAGGTTCGTATCATTGTACTTTTGGACTAAGTTTCAAACATTTAAATTCAATTCTCTTATATGAAAATTTTCAAACGTCTTTTAACATTTATTGATTAAGTTTTTAAGACAATTCTACGGTGATTAGACCACATACTTAAGACGATCAAATGAAGTTTGAATTCTTTAACCGTGGTTGCTTTCTTTTTCTTGAAATCGAACTTGAATAATATGCTAATCACTTGAGACGATCATCCTTGATCTTAAAACGTTAGGAATTCAATCACGTTGAATTATCCTTGATCTCTGAATTTTCTCCATACCTTATTTTTGTGGTTGGATGTCCTTTTAGCATAAAATATGCAACCGTTAGTAACCGTCAATGATAACATTAACTGCTGTAGAGACTTGCCAAATTCAAGTCCCTTGACTTCTTAATAATAGGCTTAGTCCACATGATTTATTGGCTTTCTCTCACATAGTCACCCTATTAACCCAAATCTGTTGGGCCTTCGATGGTTTGGGTCTAGCATGATAGTCCATTTGATTAATTAGTTACTAATTAACCAAATCTTACCCCAATAAATTATTAATCAACTACATAGATTGGATTTAATCCACGTTTATGACTAATTTCCTTAGTCCAATTCATAGATTAATTTTTTGTCTTAACTTCTTATAATTTGTAGTGGCATTAGAAATTATGTGAAAATAGACATGAAAACCGCTTTCCTGGGAACTTACCTTTTTTTATTGTGATCTTCCAATCTTTGTTCTATAAAAAAATGTTAATAACGAAGTTATTTGCTTAAAGTTTTGGGTCCCGCACCAAGGTTAATTACTATTTTATTCTCTCACAAAAAATTAGTTTTAAGTCCCTTTACTAGATTAAAATATTAAAAAGCTTTTATATTTCTCAAAATTTTTAGATAAGTAAATAAACAGATATCTATTATTATTTGATTCGTTTATGTCATATTTAAATATTTATAACTGAATAATTAATTGATATGAATAGGAGATTTAGTATTCGAGATAAATTCAAATAGAATATGAATAATATTTTTTGGATATCTAATATTTAAATTTATTTAACTTTTAATAAATAATAATAGATATCCGAATCCATTACTTATTTACATATGTACAATATATAAAATTTTACATTTGTAGAAAGTTTAGAATTTTAACAAATAACATTTATTTGTTATTTATTAAGAATGAATTTGAATTTTAAATTAAATTCTTATTTTTTTTATAAAATTTTAAATAACAGAATTTTAACGAATTCAGATATTTAAACGATAGTACTTATTTAAAAAATTTAAATTTGAGCAGTAATATTAAACTTAAATGAATATTTAAACAAATTTAAATATTATAAATAATAGACAAATATAAATATCTTAAAAATAATGAATATTCACTCTATTATCATTGCCAACAAAAACCTTTGTTGGCTTCCATGATTTACACAGCAAAAAGTACTTCTGGCTTGTGATTGATTTTGGGATGGTAGTGACAATAAGAAAAATTAATTGATAAATTAAAATGAAAAAATCAAGTTGAACTTGATTAAATAATGTTTGAAACTTTAGAGACCTAAGTGAATAAGTTCCATAGTTTAAGGGGTCAATTTATAAGTTAGAAAAATATAAACATATTTGAAATAAAATTGGGGTCAGTGGCTGTCCTTTCTCCCCATATATATAAGCAGCCATTGTCGTCCCTCTAATTACAAAGTTCAATATATTTGCTATATAATGTGTCAAGATAAATCACAAAAGCTTAAGACGTAAAACTCTAGCTTGCGCGAGGTTTTGTTTTGGCTCTCCTTTTTTTCTTGAGGTTTTTTGACTAATTTTTCATGTGGATATCATTGAAGGCTAGGTAATTGGATGGTTGAAGGTTTGCTACAAACTTGTCAAAAAATTCTTGGAGTTTCTTGGATCACAGCCCTGGTTGAATACTAGTACAAGAATTAGTTAAGATTTTTGAATTTTTTTAGTGCTAGTTACTTGGGCAAAGGAATATCATCGTGTGATCATATCTATCGACAGTTAAAATTTTAAAATTTCATAATATATACTCAAACATGCATGATTAGTTCTTAGTAAGTTTCTTCTTAATTGGGACTCCTTAGAATATGATCAATTGTCAAACTCAGTTTCACTTGAGCTAGGACTTCTTGAAAAAGTTTGAGTTTTACTTTGATTCTTTGGAAAGAGTTTCAGTAGGACTAGTGTCATAACGTGTAAGGCTGAAAACTAGATCATTTGACACAAAAAATAGAAATTGTCACTAATTTTTTTAGTTAAGTGTCATTGGCTACCTTGATGTATCTCTTTTAAGAAAACCCTAAACTTGACTAAGGCTCTTTAAATGAAATGAGTTTTAGTCTATACTATAGAACTAGATTCAAAAATATGGTTAAGTGTAGAGAAAGTATAAGTACTCTTACAACGATCATCCAAAAACAATACTAATTAATCTTTTATTATTCTAAAATTGTCTTCACTAAATGTTCTTTTTCACTTAATTTTCTTTATTTTATATTTTTTTAATTTATTATTTAAATATAAAAAATTTTCACAAATCTTTTTGGATAATGTTGGCATAATTTAAGAAATTTTTTTTACCTCAATAGTATTTAAAAAAATTATTTATTTCCTTAAAGAGGCTCTATCATCAAAATAATTAAATGTTTTATGAAAATATTATTTAATTTTATTCTTATTTTTATTTTACAAAAATTTTATTTTTAAATTTGTAACAAACTTTATTTATTTTTACAAAATGAATTTTCTCAAATTAATTATTAAATATTTTTAAAAAGTAAGTAAAAATTTTTATTGAAATATTTTTAAAATCTTTCTAACACTCTTAGTAAGATAATTAAAAATTTCGAGTAAAGTGCATTTGTATGTAGTCTCAAACCTTTCATTTTGATTTCTAATCTTTAAAATTATTTCACAAAAGTCCTAAACTTTTCAAAATTATGTTAATATAATCCTCTCATCAAATTTTGCATAAAAATAAGAGAGAATTATGAATTAGGATAATGAATTCAAAATTATTATTTTTTGCTACTATATTAAAATGTTTTTATTAGAAAATAAATAAAACTTTTAAAATTTTAAGAATGAAACAAAAACTTTTATCTTAGATT